AAGCATTGGAACCATGGGACCGTACCTGAAAGAAGAGGGGGGTTTTTTTCCAAAAACTTTCTAAAGATTTTGCATTTTGTTTCCTAGCGAAATCCTTGTTCACACGTTCCTCTTTTATGGTTCTGTTTGCTCAAATTTACATTTCCACTTTTCACAATGTTGCAGCACCAAACGACATCATTTTGCATAATTTTTACGTTTAACAAACTCGGGATTTGAGAAAAATTTCCTTAACAAATGGACCGCCAAAAAAGTAATTTATATCTAAAGCTGAAATCGAAAAGCAGATAGGCGAAAGGTTTTTTTTTCCCAGTTTGTAGCCTTATATAGTGTTAATAGCAACATTTCCCATAATTTCATATTTTCAGTCTTTGCTATTCATGAGCTGAAATATTCAAAAACGCACACTTTCACGCATAAATGATCGCCTCGTGCACTTTTGACGTATAAAAAAAAAGTGGAACTTTTAATATTCGTACTTTTGCGAATACTGCACAAATGCGTCTAATCGCTTTGATCCAAACGACAGTTCCTCAACAAATGCGTTGTATGCAGCCTGCTTGGAAGCACAGAAACTCTCAAGTGCTGCAGTCAAATGCACTGATAGTGGATTGATCAGGCGCGGTCGCGGCATTAGTGGCTGTTTAGACATCAGTGCCTGAAATTGAAAAATAATTCAGCCACACTGAAATCAGAATAATGCCCCGGGCATTCGTTGTCTTTAAGGCAGGGTCAAATCTGCAAAATGAAAGGAAATTTTGTTCACCTAGCTGTACTAAATAAACAAGCTTCCCTAAGACAATTTCAGAGTCACAACTGAAACTGTGCTAAGATCGGGCAAAAAAGGCCAGCATACAAGAAAACGCATAAAACTCAATTAAAATCAAGAAGTCTTCAATGCTTATAGATGAGATGATCCCGTTGTAACAGACAGACCAGGCACAGCTCGTGCGCAGATTTCAGGCGACAGTGCTACTGTCATTATTACTAAATATTATTTGCAAAAATTTGAAATTTTTCTTTAAAATTCTTCTGAGACAAAACTTACAATCTGATACTTAATAGCAAGCAATACATCCCAAACGATCCATGGAAAAGAGCGAAATTTGCAGCGAGATCGAAATGCACTGGCATAAGACACAGCATACCAGGCTTTCGCCTTTGTGATTAGTGCTGTATTCCAGCGAACTCTCCTCCTTCCAAACATATCAATTATTATATAATCTTTTTCTTTGCCAAATTCCTAAAAAGCCAAAAAGCTGCACTACTGAAATCAACAGACAAAACGGCAAATGAAGGGAGTCCGGCGGAATGGCAAGCGCAAATATCCACTCAAAAACGACACAGTTTGTCAGATCAACTGTATTATTTCATAATGAATGTTCTTCACAGCACATTGTATCCTTATCAATTGCTGACAGTGACATTTTATGAAGCCCTATTTCCATTGTCCCGTATTTTTTTACTATTAATGCAGCTGGCAATTCTTACATTCCTATCAAACCTGTATTTTCCAAGCTAATGCAAATCGTCGCAGACAACCAATCTCAATAACAGCAGCATTTCCAGTGCTTCCGTAACATTAACGTAGCACCACCTAACAGGTCGTTTTGCATTTTCAATAAAAGACGAGATAATATGAAAAAATGCATTTGAAAAAAAATGGGCCGAGTTCGACCAGTACACATTTACAACCTAACTGAGGAAAACTCTACATGATAAAGTGCATAAATAGCAACGCGCACCAGACTAGTAGGTGCGATCATGCGTTCTGTGAAATTCTGCTCACCGAACGATTGCCTATTAATGATTTTCACTGCTTTGTAAAAATGATTTTAATTGCTTTGGTCTGTGCAAAAATATTGAAACGTTGAAAAAACAGTTAAAAATTTCAAGCATTGGGGTAAGAAAGTTGAATTTAAAACTTTGAAGAATGAATATCCTTTCGTAATTCCCGAAATACCTGCCAAAATTTTCACGAGGCCGTAAGTGATACCCGGAAGCGCGGGAATGCTGAATTTGAATATGCAAGGTCGTACGTGGGAGAAGGGTAATTACTCTAAAATTCCAGCTTTGTAGACTTAGTGGTTCCCGAAATAATGGTTCACCCGCCAAAATTTTCATGAGGCCGTAAGTGATACCCGAGGGGGCAGGATTGCTGAATTTGAATATATAAGGTCGTACGTGGGCGAAGGGTCGTTACCATAAAATCTCAGCCTCCTAGTCTCCGTGGATCCCGAGATAATAATTTGCCCGGCAAAAATTTTCACGGGAACGTACATGTTACCCGTGGGACGGGGAAAGCTGATGGGTAGCACATGGGCGAGGGACATGCCCACGAAATTTCAGCCTTCCAGCTTCCATAGTTCCCGAGATACTGATTTTACCCGAAAAACTTTTATGGGGCCGTATGTGTTACCCGCGGGTTTGGAAGGTGAATTTAAATTTGCGGGGTCACACGTTGGCGGGGGCCACTATACTAAAATTCCGGCCGCCTAGCTTTTGTGGTTCCCGAGTTGAAAGTGCGGGACAAAATGTAGGACACACACACAAACA